CGGAATGCAAATTAAAGCTGACATTATCCAAACAGCAGCTATCATAACCGCAGCACGTGCGGGCGTACGCGATTTCAAATAATCAACTGCCTTTGTTATGCTCCAATAACGATCCAACGATATTAGACATAAATTCATAATGGAAGCCGTGCACAATAGCACATCCATAGCCGAATGTATATCGCACCACCAACTACCGAATATCCAATAGCCCATCAATTCATTCGCCAGCGAGAATGGCATAATAATTAGACCGAGAAAAAAATCCGCCACCGCTAATGAGGCGATAAACCAATTTTGTATATTCTTCAATGATTTCTCGGTCACAATCGCAATGATAACCAACATATTGCCCACAACAATGATTATCATTAGAAATGTAACTATAATTGAGGCAATCACAATGTGTGTTAACGTATAGCCGCTGGGATAGCGCCCATTCCACTGTATCTCGGTGATATTACCGGTGCTATTCGCAAATGTTTGATTGTAATAATTGCCGCTCGAGAAATTGATGCTACTGCCGCCAATGCCATAGCCGCCATAGCTTGTGCTTGTGCTGCTATTGAAAAAATTACTATTTAAGTAGAAGAGACTGTCATTTATATAATTGGGATTCAACGTGGTGGCAATGCCCGCCAATGAGCTCTCAAGTATATTGGCGACTGTGTATTGACCGTCAACGGTAAGTAAGGGCGGATTGAGCGTTACATTACTGGCACCAGTGCTCGCTATGTGACTAGCATTCGTATGCAGTTTCGTTGATAGTATGCTGCCGGACGACGTGGTATTTCCTCCGCCTGGACCACCACCAGCGACATCAGTTGGACTTGTCGATGAGAATATTGCTAGAAAGTCATGTGTGGAAATGTTGCCTGTATTCAGATTACTATTAATATTCGCATCCAATTGGCTGTAATCCATTTTTGATGAACGATATGCTTCCTACTCCCTGCTCACTGCTTCCTACTTGCTACTCGCTACTCGCCGCTCGCTGTTCGCTGCGTTTATTATTGTAAAAACAATAAATTTATGGGTAATTTGTTGGCAATTAGTGAAATATTTTGTAATAACTGAGCAAAGCGATTGATTTTAGTGTTGGGTGGGTAATCGGTTTCTTCCTTTGTGATTTGTTTTGGTTTTACTTTGTAATGTTTTTGTTTTGTTTTGTCTATTTGTTTTTGTTTCTCAATTTTATTATTTTTGTTTAGTGATTATCGTTCTACAATTAATGATTATGAAGTTGTTGATATAAATTTGTTTTTTTGTATATTATTTATTTATTTATTTATTTATTTTTTGTGCGCTGATGCTGCAGTTTCTTGCAGTTCTTATTATTTTATTGCCTTTCTATTGCGGTTTTCTTTAAAGTATTCTTCTATTCTTATAGTATTTGCATCTCTCTTTAAATGTACTGCATTTTAATGGACAATTCCGTGCAATCTATTTGGTCCCGATTCCTTAATTTCTTTTTCTATATAATTTTATTGCAATTCTTAACTCTACTCGAGCATTTCAGGCAAAACTTTGATGTTATTATTTTTACAATAATTTTATTATAATTTTATTATAACGAGTAATATAAATTATTTCAAATTTCAAATAATATAAATTATTTTAAATTTATTTTATATTATATATTAATAATAATTTTTAAACCGTTTAGTTTTAATGCAGTTTTTTCGAATTCTCACTTTATTTTATAATTTAATTTTAATATTTGATTATTTTGACTTTATATGTTCAAATAGTTTAATTTCATTAAATTCAGTTATAATTAAAAATAAATTAAATAAAATTTCTCAGCTTATAGTTGTAGTTTGTTTATAAGCACTAAAAATTAAGTTTTTTAATGCTTTAATATTTTATTAAATTTTGTTTTTCTATATGGAAAAACCCATTTCTGCTATTTACACAATTTTTTACAATAATAAATATTGTCTAGATTGTTTTTAATTTATTTTTTTAAAACTATTTTATATTATCTATATTACTCTGTAACTACTGAATTCATGAATTAATTTAATAATAAAAGTTTTTTAAACGTTATTACTTAAATATACACACTAATTTTATTTATATTATTATTATATATGAATAATATATATAAAATTTTATTTTATTTTATATTTTAATAACAAAAAAATGTTCCGCTACCCGTTTTATGCGAACTTGTGCACTTTTTTTGTTTATTTATAAAACTAATTTAATGCTCACGTATTTTCTTAATTACTTATTATATTAATTATTATAATTAAGGACAATTTTAACCCGTTTAATACCGAACTTGTAAGCTTTTTTTTTTTTTTTTTGTTTACATTATAGTTTTGTTTATTTATTTTGTTTTTTTTTTCTATTTTCTTACGGAAAATATTTTCATGGCATGGCCCGTGTTGGGAATTTTTTTTCCATAGAAGTCTAGAGATGCATTTTTCGCGCCATAAATGAAGACAGCAAATCTGTAATTTTTTCTTCAATCTTAAAAAGTGTGAAATTTTTTCGACTGTTAGTTTTAGGCAGAGGCGAGTTTTAGTAGTAGAGAGTATCTGCTAATAATGGTTTTTTTTTCTATTCTATTTGTTTGTTAAGTAATTTTGATGTGAAGACAACAGCCGTGTAGAAAGCAACATATATCTAAAAAATAGTGCTGAGCAGATTCAGATTCATTAGTCGCTGGCACACTTCACATGCCTCAATTCACTGCAACCTTGGCAGATTCATTTCATCGCAGAGCACATCAGTGCTGGCTGCCCGCTTATTTACGTCAGTGTGGCACTAAGCAGTTGGCAGATATGAAATATATGGAACGCACACAAATCTAGAAGCAAGACGTCTTCTGCTCCTCGGCGTTGCTTTTAGACATAATTCAAATCAGATTTATGGCGCGCATAGGATGAATGATGGAATGGTGTCTGGAAGTTGCACGTTTGCGGGAAGAGGAACTAATGTGTTGCAATTTCTTCCTAACTCTAAAATTTCGCGCTGAAACCGCTATTTCTATTTATTTTTACGAAAAAACAAAAAAACGAACGCCAAATTTTTTTTTAAATAATTTTTTTTTTTTTTTTAATAAGAAGTTCTAAAAAATCCTTTAAAGCACAAATTTATTAATAAAATTTATTTTATAAACAGTGCCGGAAAAATGAAAAATGCCATTAAATTTCTTATCAAAGTCGCTGCTGTGGCTACTACACACAACCACAACAACAAAGCATTTCCTCCAATGAACAATACATATATATATATATTTTTTTTTTTGTTTATTTACACTTCATTAAATCATTCGACAGCTGTAGAATTCTTCGCCACAAACCCAATATTTATTTATTTTATTTATTGCAAATTCAATATAATTTTTATATCTTTTTTTTTTCTCGATACATTTATAAACAATTTGTAGAATTTTTTTTTTTTTTTTTGATTTTTGTCCGCAATATTAGTTAGAAATATTTGCCACAAGTGTAGACATCAAAAGTTTTTCAAATTTTAAAAAAGTATTAAAAAGTATACACACGCGCCGACACACGTACGCACCGTTTGAATTGCACATCTTAACTGAATTGGAAAACAAAATATTTGGCCAACATGCCTTGCCATGCCTTGCCATGCCTTGCCATGCCCTGCCATGCCTTTTTCCTTCGGCTACTATAACGTGCGTATTTTCCATATGTATTCTACGAAACTTCTTCAAGCTGTTCGTGCTGCGAAGCAACCACAGTAAAATTGCAAATTGCGTTCCACACAGAACAGAAATTAAGAGCAAATGTACACACAGCATTTCTTAATGATTTTTCCGGTCAGTTTTTCCTGCGACGAACAGCATACGATTTTGTTATACGAGCGCAGCAAAACGAATCCACAAAATTAAATTTTGTATATGATATGCAACAGCATATAAAGAGAGAATAAATTCCTTTATAAATTGCTCGTAACAAATACAATCCACATTTTGTGGAACATTGCACATATGAAATTATCCTAAACACTATTTTGACTTACTGTAAGAAAGAGTATTTGTGAATAAACTCTTACTAGCAACTAGCAAACAGCAGAATACTATATTATTATTATTATTACTATAAGAAATATTGCTCTTTAATATTTATAAATGTTTATGAAGAGTAAAAAGCTTTTGGTACTCTTGATTTATTCCGAAAATTTATTACTGCGAAATTATTAATGAAAAGATATGTATTTAAGAGAAAATTTCAATTCAAATTCAAATCAAAATTTCAAATTCAAGTTCATTGAATTTATTGTTTAAATGTACTTAGTAAAATTTATAAAAATGCAACTATTAAATTAATTGTATCCTGAATATAACTATATATATTTGGTGGCATAAAATATAGTTTTTAAAATTAATTAAAATAATTATTCTACAGCTGGTTTATGATTTCGTTCTAATATATAAATACATCAAGTAAAATTGTTAATAACAAAAACTCCAGCAAAAATATGGGAACAAAAAAGTCAAGTACGGCTTTGGATCAGTTGGTTAAGGTGCGCTGATTCTGAGCTTCACATTGGGCAGGACCCGAGTTCGATTCCTGGTACTTGCAGTCTCAAAAATAATTATTTACGAATAATTAAATACAAGAATTATTTCCAAGACCA